ACAAAATCAACCTACAAAAATCTCTATTCAATAATCTCTAGCCACTTTAGATTCAAATTAATAATGCCTAAACACCATGCCTCGCTCTCCTCAAAATTTCAGTCAACATACAGAGATATATTTAATTAATTGAACTAATTTTTGCCTTCATGGAATGCCCTAAAATAGGGTCATATGATGAGTAATTGACCATAGAATGGAGTTTTTTATATCTGGGGACTTCTAAAATAGAAAGAAATCATGCTTTGTTTAAAAGAACAATAGCGTTTCTAATAATTTATTTCCTAGCGTGCTTTGAGTAATACACTATTTCACGAAGAAAATACACGTGCACCTACTAATATAATGAACAATTCAATTGTTCAACATGTTCTACCCGAACCTACCGTCACTAAAAAAAAATGTTTACGCGAACCCTTACTGCCCTCATCCACCAGGTCAAGACAACCCGTATACACCAAACATATCGCATTTAGTTTTCCAGTAATCAAGCGAGTTCAATCCCCATCTCGCAAATACTGTTTAAAAATATACGCCCAGCTGTCACTCTGTTGACAAAATTTTCATTTTCACCAAACCAGTTTTTGCTTCCGAATGGAAGCATTGCAATCGTCCGATCCCGACCGGAAAAAAAAATTCTAATTTTGCTTGGAAACGATGTAGAATGGTCTGAAATGTAAAAATACAAAAGTTTTTGAGAATGTCTGTGCGTGGTGCCCCCTGGCCAGGGGTGATTTTTTAGTTAAGAAAAGATAAAGGTGGGTAAAAAAATTCCAAAAAATTTGAAATTTTGTCAAATAGTAGGTAAGAGTTGAGGCTAACTATGGAATGAAAATTCTGCTAGATCGGTCAAGCCGTTTTTGAGAAATCGTGATTTGTTTATAAATCGTTTTTTCGAAATATCTCCAAAACTAATGAAGGTATTCAGTTTTTTTTTATTTCATTCTCTTCGCCATGATTGGCTCTATTGGAATTAATCAAAAATTTGAAAATGAACTCTGGAAAAAATCATAGTTATTGTCACTTTTATGTTTTTGAAAAAAAAATGTTGTACGCACTCTCACCCCCGCAAAAATCGAGATATCAACTTTAAATTTCGACTAGATTGTCCTATCACTGCAACGGATGGTATTGAAAATGAGTAGGATTGACTGATTAGTTCCGGAGATATTCAATTTTTAGTGTAAAATGATTAGGTGGAATATCTCAAAATTGACTTAACTGAATTCATTTTTTTTTATGTGAAAATTTTTGTCTCGATGTCCCCTGTCATTATCAATTAAAATATATATAGTTGCCCATACAAACTTTTTGAGATATTTAGATTTTTTCATTTTTCAGTTCAAATTGCTGTACGCATTTTTTTTAATTCCATTCTTTTCGTCATGCTTGGCACTATTGAAATTAATCAAAAACTGGAAAATGCATCCTGTAAGTAATCATAGTTATATGACACTTTTATGTTATTGAAAAAAAAAATGTTGTTCGCTCTTTCATCCGCACAAAAATCAAGCTATTAAGACTGCAAATTTCGACAAAATCGTCCGTTTATCCCTACAATGGATAGTATCAAAAATGAGCTTAATTGAACAATTGGTTTTATAGATATTCAAATTTTCGTGTAAAATAATTATATAGCTCAGAATATCAGGATCGAATTCGTTTTTTAAATTTGAAAATTTTAGTCTAATAGATGCTTAATTGCTACGACCATTTAACATTCCTAATAGATCCAACCTGAGGAAAAATATATTGTTAAAATCATTCGGAAGCCCGCCATCAATTTATTGATGGCAAAAAAATATACCTATACATTTCGCTAAATCCTCCACAATGACATAATTGTTGTCGCCTACTTGTTTTTTGGATCTTCTTGGAAGCAACAACATTTTTTAATCAGTACGGCAATCTTGTGTGAGACTTTCGACAGGGCTCAGCAATTAATTATTAATGAATTTTATGTTCGTATTTTTTAGGAATACTTTTAATTCACATAAAAACAAATCGAATTCACCAAGTTAATAAAATAAATGAAGAGGACGTTTTGAAAAATGGAATAAACAAGCAGTTAGCTGACCCTATTTCACACGACATTTAACCATTACTTTATGAGTTAGTTTTTTTTTATTTTTCATTTCTACCAATACAATTGGTATGTAGTCAGCTATCAAATGGATTCGTAGTTATTCCGGCAACGATCTTATAAAAAAAAAGAAAAATGGCAATCTCTTCGAAACGAATCGTCCGATCCAGAACATCTTCCATATGGAATGAAACAGACGACAATGGTCATAAGAGGAAACTTTCGGCCAAATTTCAAGTTGATGGGTTGATTTTTGAAAATCAGCGAGTGCGCATACCGAATTTTTTTGAAACACATAAAAATTGACACATATTAAAAACTTTGTAGAAACGAATATCTATATCTATATAGAGCATATGAGACGAACGTTAAAAGAAAAATATCAAATCAATTGCATAGTTTCTGAGATATGTGCAAAAAAATTTAGAAACAATCACCGAAAACTACTCCAATGATCGGGCTGAAATTTAGTACCGATCAAGTCCATATTAGGACATATGAACTGGCGAAATTTCAAATTTTAAGAAATTAAATTACCTGTTTATTCTTCTTCTTCTTTAAAAATTGACCATCAGTTGGTCATCCGCACACACACGCATGAGCCTCAAAATTCGTATTTTTATATTTCAGACAGTTCTACATGATTTCCAGGCAAAACTAAAAAATGTAAGAATTGAACGATTACAATGCTTGCACTCAGAAACCAAAAAAATTAGAGAATCGAAAAATCGAACGATTGCAATGCTTCCGTTCGGAAGCAAAAACAGCAAAATACATGTACAGTCTGTAAAATAAAGTCGTAAATTAATTCGAGTGAGTTTAATTACTAGCTCGAAAGTATTGATCCTGATCGAAATGAAAAAATTCTTATGTATCCTCACCATGCTCTTTAGAATTACGAAATATTTGGTCATTTTGCACATAAAAGTTGGGCATTTTCGATTACCACCTGGGCAACCAACATTTTCTAAGTCTATGGTTTTTCATTCACCTAATCTTTCCGTTTTTATACATAATCCGAAAATTTAAACATTACTTGCCCTATCACGCACAGATTATTTTCGTAGTTTTGATCCCCAAAATTTTATTAATTTTCCAAGTGAGTTTTCTTATTAATGAGAACATGTTAAATTTCATTTTTGCAAATAGAAACTAAAAACAAAATATTTTCTGATTTCAGGGAAACGAATTTGATGCTTTGACCTGAATTAATTATTTTAAAAAACTACAAATGCCAACGCAGTGGACGCAGATAACCTATTGGGATTTTTTTTTTAATCAAGAATTAAAATCAATGCAATCACGAATGCATATTTTTTCTTGATTCAATTAGTTTCCAAAAAAAAACACATTACTTATATCCGGATCTGGTTACTATAAAGGTACTTTCAGATTTTATTCTGCATTCAATTTCGAAATACATTCAAATAAAACTGTTCCATCTTCACGCAAGTGGATAAAAAAATATGGCTACTGTTTTTCTGTAAAGGAAGTAATGGAATATGAGGAACTGACACTATGAACATAAAACTTTATATCTTTACCCTTGACTAGATGTTGTCTCACTTTGTTGAGAGTACTGCAATAAGGAAATAACTATTGGTATCCCCGACATATAAGGATCTGGGTTGGACTGCTCAATAGTTCATTGAGATTTGTTGAGTTTTCCAATTTCCTTCGTAGCTATCTTAATATGAGGCTTTCTACTTTCACTTTTTTCCTTGGAGTCATGATGGCTTCTTCCGTTTATGCTATATACGATGATCCCTACGAATGTAAGTATTAAATCTCAACAATTATTAATTTGATCAAAGAATTTTTCTGATGAATAACAAATTTACTGTGAGAAAAATTATTGTTTTAAACTGCTCTGAATAAGTTATTTAAATGTCTCCTAATAAAACATCGATGTTGTCGGAAAGATCAATTTTTTCAATGATTTGCTTTACCATAACAATCACTTTTTGCTGTAAATTCAAGTAAATTATCCAGAAAATGATTAATTATTGGCTCAAATCTTCATTTTCCGATTCACTGCCATTTTAAGCATTAAGGTGCACTCATTCCATGTAGAAAAAATTAGGATTGAAAAGATTAGAGTTCTTATGCTAGTAGTTATTTCAGTCTCTCAACGTCTCATAATTTATTTAAGAATATATATTCCTGGACTAATTTACAGGAATTTTCAATAATTTCAACGAATTTCGTCTAAATACACAGTAAATCTCACAGGAAATTCTATCCATATTAATGAATTTCTCAATTTTCTGCACCCTCTAATTTTCCGATGACAAAATAAATTTCGATGGAAAAATAAGAATAGTGGTGTAAAAGAATTAGTTAAAAATTGTCAGATTATTATTGAATTTTCAATACAGTGACACACAATGTATACTCTCACCTAGATAACAGATACAATTGTCAAAGATGTGAAAACAATGGTGGCTGCATCAACTACAAATGTCCCTCAACACCAATCAAAACCTACAACATTTGCGGCTATACAACCTTCCCATGGAAATGCTGCACCTGCACTCCCGATAAGAGTAAGCGAATTCGCTCACGCGATTTGCGGGATGGGAAATTCCCCGACAGAGTTTAAATTAAGTCTTTGCCCAAAAGAAGGTTTATTCCTTGTATCTTACAGGCCTAAAAATCACATTGTAATTTTATGCATTGCATTAAATAAAACATTGAAAGAAACTGAATATATCGTTCAACACAACTGTATTTTTTTAAAAAACTTCTTTGGGTGGGATAGTGAAACGAAAAATTTTCATGAAAATAGGAGCAAAAGTGACGTAATCAGCGTGCGAGAAGCCTTCGCCCATCTCCACACTTTCACACCCACGCCCACTCTTTCTGTCTTTCTCTCTCTTTCTCATTCTGTCTTTCTCTCTCTCTCTCTGCCAGAGTGCATCACGAATTTTGCTCAACCATGATGGCCCTGTAACGGTTGTCATATCAATCATTTTCAACATCGAACCAGTAATTACACAATCAGAATGGAGAAGCCGATTCAAAGTTCAATAGTTTTTTGTGTTCATGTTGATAACATCAGAAGCCATATTTCTCAATAAGCAATTAATCAATAGCAATTAACATGAAAATGTCTACAGGGTCATATTAGAGATGATATTAATTATTGCACATTATCATTATGTAATTTTTAAAAAATCTGAAAAATTACTAGGGCAGTTTTTTGTTTAAAACTATTATTTGCCTTTGTTCGGGGGCAGACACATTAAGTTACAAATATTTATCATTTAAAACAAAGATAACTTGAAGATACGATGTTGTTTTGCAATTTTTCCAGATTATTTTAGAGAATATTCGGATCATAAAAATAAGGAAGCACAGAGATACACGGAAACGCCTGCAAATAAAATACACTAATGCCTAAAATCACAAACAGCTTACAACGCGGAAACTATTAACCAGTTTCCCAAATATATAAAGACAAGTAGAAATCTCCTGTTCATTGGTCCGCTAACGACGTCGTCATGAAATTTTTCATCGTTTTCTTTCTGATATTCTGTGCTTTTGCCATGGGAGAACGTAAGTTTTACTGGGACCTAATTATTCTCGCTGATTTAATCTTTTTTTTTTTGTTGGCAGAATCTCCGTATAATTGTATGAGATGCGAGGACGATAAACTTTGCATCGCAAGATTGAAATGTTCTTGGGGATGGCCGGCCTGTCAATACGCTTATGCCAGATCTTGTTGCACCTGTTCCCTCGACCCCAAATACAAAAAAAATGGTTAATCTTGTCATGATTAAAAGAAGGTATTGGCAGTGTAACAGTCTATGAAATAAATGATCGAATTCAATTAATTAAGTTTGTCGGATTTCGCCTATTGAGAATGTTTACGGAATCAATCACCATTTTGGTAAATAAAAGTGAGTTCTATATTTATCGAATAGCGTTGATAGCCGCCATAATGGAACATGTGACTATTTCGCAATATTTTCTTCCTAAATTAAATCGATATTTCCACTTATAATATCCAGCCACATATTGAGTAATTATCATACATCAATCAATTCATAAATGGCATCCTTTTCTGTGTTTCCCAGTATAAATTTGAATGATTTCTTGATATTGAGAAGCATCGGTCGATAATCACATAAAAATAAAATTCGGGGAACCACAGAGTTTAAGGGTCTTCTATACCAGGGCTGGGCAAACTCTGCTCTGAGAGCAAGTCGTGCTCCCGACCTCTATTAGTGCATAACAAAGGGTAGACGAAAGCCCATTGTATCGGGTGATGGGCCTTTATGACCCAGATTGTAAAGGCCCTTCTCCTCCGCTGAGATCAACCGAAGTGGGGGTGACGCTTAAGAAAAGGAAAAGAGGAGAAATGAGATGTGGCAAGAATTTATCCTCCGGAAGGGTAAAACTTATCGCGCATCTGATTATTTTTTAATGCACACATGAAAAAAAATTGAAATTTTTCTGATCGACTTATTGCGCTGCTTTTCCTTTACTTGAGTCTCATTTCTCCTCTTTTCCTTTTCTTAAGCGTCACCCCCACTTCGGTTGATCTCAGCGGAGGAGAAGGG